AGAACCTATTGCAATAAAACGGCAATTTCATACTTTAACCCCTAATAATTACTATGGAGATAGAAGTCTACAGAAACGTATTCCATATTTACTAAACAGTTTACCTGAGGTTTTAGACTTAGGTGTTAGACTTGAACCTAAGAAAAGTAAATTTAAATATCTTTTGTTGCAGTATTTGTTGTGAAATTTATAGATTATTATTAAAATACTTGTTAGGAAAAATATATGCATTATTTATTAGTTTTAGGTCTATGTATATGAAAGCGAGATTCATTTGATCCCACATTCAAACTGAATACTCAATTTAGCGTTACTATGGTACTTTATCTAAGGAAAACTGCAATGTTTTTATATATTAAATAAATGAAGAGACCTAGCGGCAGGAATCCCAAAGGATGAATAGATCAGATTTCCGACCAACTGGAGCAACCTCGCCTTATTCCACCAGCCGACTGAACGCAACCGATGGAGATACAATGAACAAAATACGTAAACCATGACAATGGTCGGTTATGTAGTGACAAAGGAAATTAAATGGACTATACATAAGATTAAAATTTAATTATTTCATAAAAAGGGTAGGTAAGTGTATTGTAATAACGGAAAAACAAAAAATAATAATTGCAAGACATTAACATTCTCCGCCTAATGGGACCTCCATTATTTATTTTACATCCCAAGTCAACAGCACGCCATGGGTTTTCGCTTTAGACTTTGGATCGTTTTGTCGTCTGTACTTTACATAAGCAACAAAAGATAATTTATGCAGCGTTAAGGCTACATAGCTATATGCCAATGATGCCGCAGGGTCACTTTTATATATCGAATACTTTCTAACACAAAATTTCTACCGTCATGAATTTGCGTATATTACTTGCTAAGACAAATAATTAACGCATGATAATAAAATACCACCCAAATAAATTACTTAATACATGTTATAAGGGTTTTAAAAAACGTTTCAAATAAATATTTTAATTAAAAACAACATAATTGGCAATACAACGTTAATAGCGGGTCTTCGCGATACGTAGCGGCTCGTCGTGCTACGTAGAGACAATTCAGCTACATAACGCTATTCCTATAGTTATATAAACATTTGTTTACTTTAAGCTTCGTTTAAAGAACGAACTATATAATTTAGAATCAAAAGTTGGTTGGTAAAATAGTACAAAATTAAATAATTTTAATGAAGAATAAACCAACAAAATTATACATATTTTTATATCAACGAAATACAGCAAAGAATACTCTGACTACAATGTAAGGATATCATCAAACTTGATAACTTAAGCGTTCATACTAACCAAAAACATTAAGCATCGCACATTTATTAAAATCTGTCCCTATCTCAATGCACGTAAGGTGTACTTTTAATTGTGTTCATACGAATTTCAATTTAAATTAAAAGTCAATTTGAAACAAACGAGGGAACGTATTAAGGTAACATTGTGCTACAACGAAAATAACGTATAATAGCCTTTGGGATTCCATCTCTGTAGACCCCTTACTTTGAAACAAAATATCACGAGTACAGCAATGTCCAAAGCAAGTATTCAGTTTGTGTACCGTATAAATATATTGATTTGTAATTATTACTGAAGTGGTAACAATAGGACGTTGGCGTCACAATCACATCACTACATATATGCATATACAAAAATAGATATCTTCAACATCACGTAAAGCAAATGCAATTTGAATTTAAAGCAGTGAAATAGACTTGCAATTACAGTCTGCTTGTGAAAACGGAAGGTGTTGAGATGGCATATCAGTATATGCCACGATACCAACTTAATAATCTATATGTTCTCTACTTTAATGGAGAGTATTAGTGATGCAAGATTATACTGTACCTAAATATCCAATCAAAGCTAGGTGGTAGAAAATTCGTTAAAACGATTTATGTAGATAAAGAGGTATTCGTTCCCTCTGAGCCACGTAAGTCATTATATTACATTACTGTAAAAAGGTAAAAAGATTTAATTTAATAACTCATAAAACGCAAAGTGTCATGAGCGAGCGCTATTTGGTTTCTTACAGAACGACGCGTTGCCCGATTTGCAAATGCGAGTAAAAAGTTATAATAACAATGTGTTAAAATCAAAAAGTGCCTTTTCTCTTCTATTCCGAAAAAAAAATGAGTTAACTCAGTGCGATGTATGAAATAAATCTGATTCGTAAGTTTGTTTTCATTCATGTTTTTAAAAACGTCAATTTCTTTATTGGGGTAAAGACTCGTAACAATGAAAACTTTAACTGCAATGGCTGTATTTCTCGTCTATACAACGACTTATAAAAAGTTGTAAAAACTAACCTTACATTAACGACAATTTAGTCATTTGTAATCTTATCAAAATTGAATGGCAGCAATTTATGGACAACAACATTTTATTGACTAGCCCCATAAGGTCATGAAAATGTAAACGGGCTCTGTGACCTCAGAAAGGCGAGGGGTGAGAGCGAGCGAAACACTAGTGTTGAGCTCAGTCGCGTAGTAGCCGCAGACGAGACCGATCGTTCGTGTCGAGCTTCTCTCCAAAATAAAGATTACGTTTACCTTGTACCCCGTGATAACTCGGCTGAACTCATTTATCATTACAACTGTAATCAAGAGCGCGTGTGACTGAATGTGAATGACCACTACAGAAATGAGGCTCCCTCTGTGATATGTGATGAAACTTTACGTTTAAAAAACTTGATGAGGATGTACGTCTTATTGATAGTTCTTAGTCTACTTGTACAAGGTTGGTACCGGATACTGCTTATTACTTTTTTCTAATACTTACTGCCTCTTTAATGTATCATAACGTATTTATCTATGTATTAACATATTTAACCATAATTATTACATATTCATAATGAACGTCAATCATATTTTTCCTGCAATAAAGTCCGTGGTTACTTTGTAATACAGAATCGAAAGACAAATTCAATGACTACGTTAGATGAGTTGGTTGTTGAATCAATATTCCTTGTATTATACATTATTCTCTTTTTTCATTAATTTGTCATTTGTATTTCAAAATAAACATAAATAACATCCGGAAGGAAAAGTATGAAATTAGAATTTTCCGCAAACGAACATTTAAGCCAATTATCGTTCGTTATAAATGTTGTTAACTTTAAATACAAGAGCAAAAATTCTGAATATTTATTTTTCACCGCCAAGCTACGAGAAACGTTTAAAATTTAATTAATATTATTGTTTTCGCTTTTGAATGAGAAATTCTTCGATACATTTTTTCATTAACGCACTGTTACGAAATACAGTTCATTCTTTTAAATCTAGGTTACAATCGCATCATACTGACATATATATTTAAACTATATATTTAAACTATACATGTAGTTGCCAACCTTAAAAAAAAATTTTTTTTATCTAATAACCAAAATAAAAAACAAAGTTAAGTAATTAAGAAGCTATTTATGGAACAAAATTAAGAAGGGTTCAATAATAATTTGTTCGATAATAAGTCTAATTTTGTCTATGTGCAGCAGTGAACGTCTTTCGTCTGAAATGATGATAAAGCATAATTTCTTAAACAAATTAACTTTTAACTAATAAGTACAACAATGTTGTAAATAAAGTGAAGCTTTGTTTGTTCAAAAAACATGACAGGTACTACAAAAAGTTGTTAACGGACTAAAATTGTACCCCTTGAGCATCCTAATCCCTATCAGTTTTTAAGTTTTCGAATATTAAGAAAAGTGTAGATATAACATATATGGTCAATCACATACAAACAACGCTGAGCTCTAAAATCTTCGGACCTTATTACCATAAATTTTGCCCGTAACCATTGAAAAAAAATACTACGTGTTGTAGTTTCATGCTAGGCGCGAAATTAATAACTAATATGATAACACATATCCTCTATTCTAAACACGAAGTTTCTCGTAATCGTTTTAGATATTAATAACCGTAATTATGTTCGGAATAATATTCCTATAGTAAAATATTTCAATAATAATTTTACTTCAACCCCCATTTGAAACTGTAACATAAATTTGTCATAATTCGTGGTTTAAATTAATAAGTCGTCGAGTAAGCCGTTATTAGTAAGTATTATTAAATTATGTAATAGTAAATGCAAAATAGTAAGTAGTAAAATTGTTTATAATACTGTGTACTGTCGACTTTGTAAGTAGAGCTTATATAATAATGTCAACCTGTGCTTTGTAAATATATACGATATTTACTATAGTATAATGACTATAGTAATTATAATTATTATTGACGTCTTGGGATTGATAGCTTATAAGATTCATTAATGAAATCAATTCGACGATGTGGCAATTGATTGTTCATGAAATGAATTAATCCAACTGTCACCAAACATTATAGTAATTAACCAATAATTTTAATAATAATATTATTGATTAATTTATCAGACTTCAATGGGTACCAATTACGATTTAGTATCTAACATACGGGTAATATAATCTATCAAAATTTCGTGACAAAAAAATAACAAAAATATCACATAGGAATAGATTTCAAATTCTCACTGAACCCCAGCTTTCATACCTAGTTTTAATTGCATCGTCGACTTGCGAATTTTCGATCAATGAAGACAATTATAAATTAATAATTCGTAACAAAACTACGGCATGAATACAATAATAAAGTAGCAGTAGAGCTCCTTGTGAAAGAGTTCGTCCAGAGAAGTAGTGTTACCTTACCTATTTCTGCCACCAAGTAGTAATGTCCGCATTACTGTGTTCCGGTATTTTAGGGTAAGGGTGCTGGTAAAATTACAGGCACATGGGACTTCTCAACTTATGTTTTAGGATGATGGGCGCAGTGGCAGTACCCCTCAGATCTTTGCGATTTAAATCTCTGAGTAGCACTGCAATTGTTATGACAGGCACGTAGCTTACCATCAGGCGCACGACTTGTTCGTCCCGTTACTAGATGTTATAAAAAAATACAAACAATACATGATTACTATAAATTAAATACGATATTATATTCATGCAGGATTAACATGAAATAAAACCACAAAATTTAGCAGGAACCCTTATTTTGTACCGTTAAATAACATAAATGACATTTATTTATCCACAAAACACATAAACATCCATAACCGAACAAATAAAACAAAAGAACGGTAATGTGGAGAAAAGGGATGAAGTGTCAGCATTGCTGAATTTCAGGCTTCATCTTAAAGCTATTCGCTTGCTGCATCAGACCGACAAGCGGATTGTATACTAAACAGCAAGCAATTGATAGAGGCTGTCGTGAGTGTGTTGCACTATTTGTCAAAAGTATAAAAATTAAAAAAATTGTATTTGAAAACAGAAAACATTCTAAAATTTTATTTATTTATTTAGTGTTGCTAGTGGATATAACCACCGACCAATTATTTAGTTAGCAAATAGTATAAAGTCAGTGGCCGGCACCGCCGGTCTGCGCGCTGTCACATTCGCGTATTATTAACGTCGTCAAGTTGAAACCATCGAAGATCGTCAAATTGTATCAACAGGCCCATTAGCGACCAAAGTGGAGTGGGGAAAAGATTTTGACTAAGCGAGGTGTCAAAGTAACGGTTAATGAAACACAACGGAGCGAAGAAGACTCCATTTTAGTTGATAATGGACCTTATCTATTAAGATCTTTAAAATAGCTTGCTATTATTTTGATCCCTGTGATTTCTAAAAGGGAAGGTACTGTAAGGGACTGCCACGGTTTCTTGCAGCATACTTGTTGTATTTGTTTATTGACCTGCTACGGTATAGTTTATTTTGCAATATCAGACGAAATGCAGTCGGAATGCTGATTGGATGCAGTCGGCGCCACTGCATATTAAATGCTCTCTGCTAATACAGTCAACTGCCAGTAGCGTTCTAGTCAGCTTGACTGCACGCTAAATGCGCAGCAGCTCCAATTGTGCAATCGCAACGCAGCTCATGTGAGAATGCAATTTGTGTGTATACGCAGAAATTATATACATATTTTTAGCTTTTTGTATTTCCCCTTAAACTCAGAAAAATTATTATAACTTTTTGTAAAAAAAAACAGACCTCTAAAATTCGTGGAAGTAAATGTAAATGCCAAGTTTATTTTGGTTACCGGAAAGTGCGCGAAACCGAATTCATCCCATAATTGGCCACCTTTAAGTGAAATATTTTCTTAAAATTTAAAGGGGACCAATACTGAGATACCCTATTTCTTTATCGCGTACACTGTTTGGTTGTCTCAAGTTTTTGAACTCGTGACGACAATTTTTGCGGTAGCCGGGAGCGGGTGAGAGAAAGGATAGTGTGGCCAGAATATAAAATGAATGCGTTTGAGTTGCGTTTCGTATGCGATGAGGAAAATACTTAAAAATAAATATTATTATTATTATTCAATAAATGTAAGAAATAAATATAGAAGGAACTGAAATGAGGCATAATGGCGGTAACCTATCACAAACTCGAAAATTGTTTTGTTTGAAATAACGTTTCTTCGAATTTTCAGTACCCGTGAAGGTGACACTTTTCAAGGCATTCTGCCAATGCTTCTATACGTGTAATCTGGGGGTCAACTTTACGCAGAAGACAATCAACGCCCTGCGCGTTCAGTATAACAACGCGTTCAGGGTTTTATTGGGTTTGCCACGGTACTGCAGCGCATCAGGCATGTTCGCGGATGCCCACACGGATGGTTTCTTTAAGGCACTCAATTTAAACATAAAAATAATAATCTTCATTGCAAATTTATTAAGATTAATAATAATAATAACAACACACACTCATAGCCCCACACTAGGGAAATTTTGCATCGTGGTTGCAATGGACACACACGTAGACAATCACAAATTGCACTCAAACTCACGAGAGAAATAAATTTGAAGGCCATGTAAATATTTCTACCGGCCCGGGAATCGAACCCGGGACCTCTGCGTGGTAGTCTGGCACAGTAACCGTTCGGCCACAGAGGGAGTTAAAATTAGCAAATAAGTAAATAAAGATAATTATTACACAATATCACATACGTTGCTTTGATTCCGAAGTAAGTAACATTGACTTATGGAAATCAGAAACAATGACGGTACCATACTACAAACACCCAGATCGAAGACAATATAGAAAAGTTAGTTTTTACAGGTAACCTATCACAAACTCCAATTTTTTTCCGAAATAACGTTTGTTCGAATTTTCATTACACCGAAAACCGAATTATAACGAAACCGTTGTTCTTTCAGGATATGTTGGATGTTTATCGTAAAGACACGATTAGGTTCGGTTAGGTTAAGTTCCCGGGGGCGGGATTGGGGGGAAGCGTCGCAACTGGCCACGGAGGGAAGCGCCCTAGTGGTCAGTCGCGTTGGGGAGCTGGGACTCACAGTCGCCTTCGACAAAACAGAGGTCATAGGGGCGTCGAGGGCCTCCGCCCGGCTCTTGGAAGAGATGGGAGGAAGGAGGGTCGGGGTGAGCCCTCATATAAAGTATCTTGGGCTCACCCTGGACAGCCGGTGGAACTTCAAAGAGCACTTCCACCGACTCGTGTCCGCCGCGGCGGCGCTAAGGCGCCTTATGCCAAACGTGAGGGGACCCAGCTCCCTATGTCGTCGGCTATATGCTGGCGTCATACGGAGCATGGCCCTCTACGGGGCGCCCATCTGAGCGGAGGTCCTCACCACCAGACTGCGGCCGCTTCTGCGCAGGCCGCAGAAGCGGCACAGGACGGTTTCCGGAGCGGCGGCATGCGCCCTGGCTGGATCCGCACCCTGGGAGCTCGAGGCGTCCGTCCTCAATC